CTTTTGTTAAACTTTTTTCAGCCCACCTGTCCTAAAGATGCAGCTGATTTCCAAGTCTCATTCATTTAAATGAATGACGCTTTATAGTTGCAAGATTTTTTTTTCTCTTTTAGGGTTGGATTTAGTCATGGGAAGGCCTGGGAAGCTGTGGAGGCTCTATTTGGAAAATGTTCATAAACCATCAGACTGTTAAAATGCCACTGAGATGCATGACAAACCTATGACCGGATTAAGAAAAACCCTCTTTGAACAAAAGATGTGAATGCAAGCAAAAACAACCCACATGTAAAATTAGTGAAGGTCATATGAGGAATAATAATAATAATAATAATAATAATAATAATAATAATAATAATAATAATAATAATAATAATAATAATAATAATATGATGGAAGGGACCTTGGAGGTTTTCTAGTCCAACCCCCTGCTCAGGCAGGAAACTCTACAATGAGAGAAAAAATATTTGATCCCCTGCTGATTTTGTATGTTTGCTCACTGACAATGAAATAATCAGTCTATAATTTTAATGGTAGGTTTATTTTAACAGTGAGAGACAGAATAACAAAAAAAAAAAAATCCAGAAAAACGCATTTCAAAAAAGTTATAAGTTGATTTGCATTTTAATGAGTGAAGTAAATATTTGACCCCTTCACAAAACATGACTTAGTACTTGGTGGCAAAACCCTTATTGGCAATCACAGCGGTCAGACGTTTCTTGTAATTGGCCACCAGGTTTGCACACATCTCAGAAGGGATTTTGTCCCACTCCTCTTTGCAGATCCTCTCCAAGTCATTAAGATTTTGAAGCTGACATTTGGCAGCTCGAACCTTCAGCTCCCTCCACAGATTTTCTATGGGATTAAGGTCTGGAGACTGGCTAGGCCACTCCAGGACCTTAATGTGCTTCTTCTTGAGCCACTCCTTTGTTGCCTTGGCCATATGTTTTGGATCATTGTCATGCCGGAATACCCATCCACAACCCATTTTCAATGTCCTGGCTGAGGGAAGGAGGTTCTCACCCAAGATTTGACGGTACATGGCCCCGTCCATCATCCCTTTGATGCGGTGAAGTTGTCCTGTCCCCTTAGCAGAAAAACATCCCTAAAGCATAATGTTTCCACTCCATGTTTGATGGTGGGGGTGGTGTTCTTGGGGTCATAGGCAGCATTCTTCCTCCAAACACGGCAAGTTGAGTTGATGTCAAAGAGCTCAATTTTGGTCTCACCTGACCACAACACTTTCACCCACTCACCCTGAATCATTCAGATGTTCACTGGCATACTTCAGACAGACCTGTACGTGTGCTTTCTTGAGCAGGGAGACCTTGCGGGTACTGCAGGATTTCAGTCCTTCACAGCGTAGTGTGTTACCAATTGTTTTCTTGGTGACTATGGTCCCAGCTGCCTTGAGATCATTGACAAGATCCTCCCATGTAGTTCTGGGCTGAGTCCTCACCATTCTCATGATCACTGCAACTCCACAAGGTAAGATCTTGCATGGAACCCCAGACAGAGGGAGATTGACAGTTATTTTGTGTTTCTTCCATTTGGGAATAATCGCACCAACTAGTGTCACCTCTCACTGTCTCTCTCTCTCTGTTAAAATAAACCTACCATTAAAATTATAAAGTGATCATTTGTCAATGGGCAAATGTACAAAATCAGCAGGGGATCAAATATTTTTTTTCCTTCACTGTATACCATTTCAGACAAATTTAAGAGACTCTCATGTTTGAAATCCAAATCAACCTATAACAAATAATATTTTTTTTAAAAAACTTGAAAGTTGGAGAAGCTCCTTCAGTCCCTAAACTGTAGGCCAGTGGTTCTCAACCTGTGGGTCGGGACCCCATTTGGGGTCGATTGACCATTTCACCGGGGTCACCAAGCAAGGCTGTCCACCATTTTTTTTGTCCGCCATTTTTTCCCCCTTTTCCGGCGGGTGCCTTACCTCCCTTGGGCTGGGCCAGCTGGTGGTCGGCCTGCTCCGTCTCTGCCGCTTGCCAGCTACGCCTCGGCCGGCGCAGGGGTCGGAACCACGCATGCACGGCACTCCTGGGCAGGGAAAGTCCTCGACTTAACGACCGGTTGGGTAGTCCTCGACTTACGACCGGTTTAGTCCTCGAGTTACGACCGGTTTAGTCCTCGACTTACGACCGGTTGGGGTCGTGGCATTAAAAAGGTTGAGAACCACTGCTGTAGGCCCTTAAATTCTAGGCAGCTATTTCAATGAGCCAGAAATGTCCCCCCCCAATACTATAATTTGGAAGAAAGTTCGCAGAGCCCTCCTTAGGCATTTAATCCTACCATCGCTAGCGAGCAGTCGTTGACATTCCGAATAGTTTCAGGGACGGCTGGCGATCACCAACCTCCCCCCCCCCCCCCCCCCCCCCCCCCCCCCCCCCCCCCCCCCCCCCCCCCCCCCCCCCCCCCCCCCCCCCCCCCCCCCCCCCCCCCCCCCCCCCCCCCCCCACACACACACACCCGACGGGCGGTCAAGTCCCACCGTCCGGCAGCCGAACTTTTACGCAGGTGGGACGGGAAGAGCAAAGTGTACCCAAAAAAAAGGGCGCCTGCGCGCTGCCCCACGCTATTCCATTTCTGAGGGCTGCAAGCGTGGGGAGGGAGCTAGCGCCGCCCGCAAGTTACTGGCGGCGGCTGCTCGATGCCTATTTTAGTCAAAACCTCCGCTCCGCCGATGGCGAGCGCTTCCCGCAGGCTCCTCTAGCAGGCGCAGCGGAGCCACAGGGCGCCCCCGTAAGGAGCCCGCCGGGTGCTGGCAGCCACCTTTGGGTATAGAAACTCTGGAGAAGGCGCTTGGGCAGCGGCAACGCCATCAGGTAAGGCTGGGACTAGGAGGAGCGAAGCAGGTAGGAGAAAATTCCGGGGCAGCCAGAACAAGCTGCGGGACTGATCAGTTGTGGTATGCAGAATTGAGGCAGCTGGGAGGACGCGCAGGGCTGGGCGACATTTTCCGCAACCCGGTCTACTCACGATCGGGGGAGGGGGTTCCCGTGCAAATCTACTCAGTGTGAATGAGTTTGGGCCAGTTACAGCCTTTAACGCGGGCGCGCTGCCTCCCCCGCCGGGTGCCTTCAGTCCTGCCTATCTCCCGCCTTAGCCTACCCTTGGTACATGCCCTCTGAACCGTCTTCGTTGGATTCTCACGTCGGGACTTGAGAAAGGGGTGCAGGGACTCACGCTAATAACCCGCGGGATGACTGGAGTTGTGAAGTTCAGTTTGCAGGAGCTGAAAAACCGCTCCTTCGCTCAAAAGACCCCCAAAGTACGTTACAGAGGTTTCTTAGGTTCTCATCTGCTTTGAAACTAGAGATGCCCTACCTTCTTGTCATCCAGAGGGCTGAAGTCTAATTGCAAAATGCAATGTAATAATACCGCCCTCTTCTCATTCTTCTGAGCCGTACCTTAAAGGGTGTGTGAGCATGGGCCAGGTATTCAATCATCCCTGTGCCACCATCTTTGAATGAGTCTTTATACCTGAAACAGAAGGCAAGGCTAATCAAAGCCTTGCCCAAGCCTGGCTCAGTATGTGCAGATAATTAGCCCTCGTTGTTCAGCACAAGCCATACCACCCTCATTATTACTTTGAAGCTGAAGTAATTTTCTGAAAGGAAGAAAAAGTGCAGCCTTATACAATCTCCATCCATGTTGGGAGAGGCTGGAATATAGTGTATGTTTGTGTGTGTACAGTATGATGAAAACTTGCAATAAATTGGCAGTCCTGGTATGGCCAGATATGGCCCTAATCCTTCCAATTATACTCCCCCTCCAAGATTCCTGAAGTTACTGTCTAAGAGGAATGTGATGTCTTTCCCTGTTATCCTGTTTCCTTGCTCATGTGAACAATATGTTTGAAATACCAGATTTAATAGCAAGTAAATATACTATGTTTAATAGTGTATAGATTTCAAGTAATCCCTTTGCCTAGGATCTAGAATGAATATTATAATATAAAATAATATATTTGAGAGAGCTGGCTTGGCATGATGGTTAGGGCACCAGGCTGAGACTGTGAGCCTGTAGTCCTGCTTTAGGCATGTAAGAGGGTGACCCTGGGCCACAAGGAAATGTACTGAAAATGTTCTCAAGAAAATTGCATACTGACTTGAAAATGCACATGTACACACATATTGTATACACTATTTTTTTTAACCAGCTATACATTAAAACGCCCATTAAATGCCCACATACAAATGCACACGTAGATAATTTTAGAAAAATCTTGGACAATGTTGTATCATACCACAAAAAAGAGTAAAATGCAGATTACCTTTTTAGTATAGAATTCTTGAGTTCTTCATAGGGACATTTGCTTTAAACAACCAAGACCACATTGACATAAACCAGGCTATGATATCCAGTGGAGATTTTTCTAACTGCCTGTATATCTGTGAAGTTGGGGATCAATATTTCATGATGCATGGAAGTTCACTGATTCTCTCTCTCTCTCTCTCTCTCTCTCTCTCTCTCTCTCTCTCTCTCTCTCTNTGTTTGGTCTGTAATGTTATGTTTGAAAATTAAATATTTTTTCTGTTGCCCTTAAAACTTGGCTGTTAAAATATTATGTACTCTTTTGCTTCTTATCTTCTATTCAGCATTGCATTAGGTACTATATTTAGTAGTGCTGCCTAATGTCATAGCTACATGGCAGTTGGATAGGTGTGGGAGAGATAAGCAGAACTCTAACTTTATTTTAAGTATTCTCTGCTAACAAGTTATTTGAGTGCCAAAGCTATACCCATTACTTTGTTGAACACACTTTATATACACAGAATGACATAGATAAGGGCATACAGTTCATGGTGATTGAGTTAATTTTGATAAATGCAAGGACTGGTTTTCTTTTTAAAAATTATTAAGTGAACATTCAATATGTTCCATGTATAATTTTTCAAGCTCTCAGGATATTCAACCCTCTTGCAAAAAGACATCTATTCAGTCACACTGCAAGTGCAACCTACCATATGTTTCTTTTTAACAGGCTACTTCAAGATGAACGCCGTAGAAGCCAGTTCAATTACCATAACCCCACTGAACTTCAGCCTGGACTTCAGAAATGCCACCTCTGTGCCTTTAAATGAAACTGTATGTGAAAATTGGAGAGAGATCCATCACCTGATTTTTCATATGGCCAATATTTGTTTTGCAGTTGGGTTGGTTATTCCAACCACTTTTAATCTCCATATGATTGTCCTAAGAGCTATGCTGGCAATGGGTAAGCAAGGTTTTATTAGACTCAAACATTGCACCCTTGAGAATCTATTGTAATGATAACCCACTATAATATAGTTGTAAAACTTATTTCTCTATTCCTGCTGCTTGATTTTGTTTGATGTGAGGGGAGTGCTTTGGAATATGTATGGAAAATTAATCCATAAATACTTTTAAAAAAATAAATGAACAATTTCATTTTCTGACTGTGCTTCATGACAAATATGGGTGGTATTCTTCTGTAATGCTATAACTTCTATTCTTTTCCTGGCATAGTCTTCATTGCTCTTACTACCATTAGTCTTTTCTTGGTAGATTGTTCTACGGAAGATAAATACGTTTGATCACAACATTCTGCTGTACTTAGTTTTCTGGATTAGGGATGGCAGAGTTGTATGCCTAATAGTTTTGCACTTTTACTTTTGACAGGATGTGTACTTTTTATCATCTGGGCAGCCCTTTTTCGGTGTGCTGTGGATATGGTAATCTGGAATGCGGTATTCCTTGTTGTCAATCTTCTGCATTTTATATACTTGCTGTACAAGAGGAGGCCGGTACGTTCATCATCACTAAGTCAATGATAGATACATAAAGAAATTATTTAAAAGAATTGGGTCTTGCTTCTAAATGGGCTTGTTTGGCTAATTATTGATGTATATATTTACTATACCACAAGGTATTTTTAATTTCTATTTTTTGTCACTGCCAAAAAAAGAGTGTAAGAGGTTATTAATCTTTATTAATAACTGTGCTTTTAGTGCCTATCCCTTCAAGTTTTCATTTACATAGCCTGTAGTCCTAGTGTAAGATGAATATAAAATGTGCAAATATTGAATGCCAAGAGTTTTGCATTTGTAATTTAATTATATCATGTTTTGTTTGCTTTTAATCTTCTTGAGGGCTCCTAAGCCACTTACAGTTCTTTGGGAATGGAGCAGCATATAAATCCTAATAAGTAAGTAAGAATAAACAATCAGGATTTCAGCGGAGTACTATATTATGATACTATAGTACAGGGGTGTCAAACTCAATTTCATTGAGGGCCGCATCAGCATTGGGGTTGCCTTCAGGGGGGCCAGGTGGGTGTGGCCAGGGTGGGTGCAGCCTATTGGGTGGGTGTGGATGGAGTGGGTGTGGCCTACTGGGTGGGCATGGCCAGCTCTACATCGTTCGCGTCAAGGGTGCCTGTGGGGGCCTGGGCAGGAGTGGGACAGATCTGAGGATCTCTGGCAGAAGGGGGTGGGACCAGGGCAAGTACCAAGGCATGGTCCATTTCTTCATTCCTCACAAAGGGTGACACCTCCCCAGCATGCACCCAGGGGGCGGGGCTGACACAGCAGGGGCTGGTTCCTTGCTGTTTCTAGACGGCCTTGTGGAGCTAAGACTGAATGCGTTTCAGCATAGATGGCCACCACAAAATTGTACATTGGTTCATCTGCATTCCAGCATCCTTTGCAGTAAGGTTTTTTGTTTGTTATCAGTACCAAACATCCAACTAGAAATTTTACAATGTTATCTTTTCATTCAGTACAGCTTGATTGAAATAAAATTAAATGGGCTGTCATACAACATCCTCTAAGTTTTTCTCTTCCTCATAGGTGAATCTGCTATCAAAAGAGCAATAAAGTGGGTTGAAAGGGAAGTTGTCCATTTGCCTAGTCATATATTGCGAGCTGCATCATTATAATCTTAGAAATGGAGAAGGGGGGGAGGTTTTACTGGCTGGTCAATGGTTTAAAGAAGTAATCCTGTCCTTGTCACTTCCAGAGCTTTGCTTATCAGGTACTGCAGAGGAAATGCTGCTATCAGAAAAGGTGCAGATGCTTTTGCGGTTGATTGAGGCATAGGCCTAGTTTATCACAGGCAGAGATGCATGATATTTGTTCCATTCATCACTGAAAAGATTTCCTCTGTGGTCAGCAGAGCTGTCCTTTTACATCACTTTTTTATAAGCGCAGCTGCTCTGAGGCACCATTCCTGGAGGAGCCAGTTCACAATAGAAACCACAGTTATCTGCTACAGGGTTTATTTCAATCTCCCAGACAAATCCTATTGTCGGGGGAGGGATGGGCTGCCTGAAAGATCTTATATTGGTAAAAACCCACAGCTTTACGTTACTCTTTAATCCCAAGGACAAAGCTCTATTTTCCCCTACAGAGCACACATCTCCATTTCACCCAGTTTCCTTACTTAAATTCAGATTATTTCTTGTTGATATAGAAATAAATTAATTAAGAATAGGCCCAAGACTGCCTGCTCCACTTGAGGCTCCGTGTGCCTCCATTTGAGCTTCCATCATTATTTATCTGGCTCAATGCTATATTATCTTTGCTTTCTTTTCTGCCCATTTTCTGCTTCTCATAAAAATTAATTGATCTCTGATCTGCCCACCTACAGTATGTTTTCAGATAAGACAAGGCATAGTGTTCTGGCTATTGAGTCTATTGAATTAGAAGACTGTGTTGTCAGTTTGGCCTTCCTCTCGCACACTTCACTGTTTTAATGTACTATGTGAAATTGGACACCCTTTCCATTCCATCACAACAACATTTTGTGATACAGGCTGTTGTGCAGCTGAGGCAAACGGGGCCTCCAAGTAGGGCAGGCAATCTGAGAAGCTTCAGCGTGCCCACAGGGATCTCTTTTGTGTCCACCAATCTAGCTACCCCACCTGGCTTTTTAAGCACACTATTTTAATTATGTAGATTTAAGCTGGCATGGGCCAAGACAGAGCACCAGGGCCTGAAAAGGATTTCTACAAATTTATCAGCATTAAGGAAACCCAAGTAATTCAATGCGGAGATATATAAAATGTTGCCTATTTCAGACAAAGCATCCCAGGTTCTTTGCTGAAGTGTATATATGAGGGAATAACACAATAAAAATATAAGCCCCAATCTATACATCCCACTTGGAATTTTTTTTCTTAGATTTCCCACTTTAGGAGCTTAGGATGACATACATGACACTCGCATCTCCAGCTTCTCCACACAACTTTTCCCCACAGCAAGAACACTGTGAGGTAGGTTAGACTGAGTGAGAATAACTGTCCCCAAATTATACAGTACAGCTTCAGTAGTTGAGAATGAATTTGCCGTGGATATCCCCATTTCTAATCCATCACTGCAATAATTTTTCTGTGCTGGTACATTGTATAGTGACCTTCCCAAAGGATGTGCAGCTGGAAAAGATGTTCACCCCACCCACTCCAAGTAGCTGCATTTGTACAATCTCTGTAGCTTCTTTTATCTTAATCATGCCTTGGTTTTGGCTTTCAGTAGTTTAAGCACAGCCATTGAGTTACTTTACACTTTAATGCATTTGGGTGAAATAATGAACTGGACTCATCCAGTAACCAGATTAAGCATATTATCTGAATCCAGTCTGCAAGGGCCAAGTTTTCATTGGTTTGCAAAAGAAATCTGAGTAAAGGGAAATGTCTGGCAGAGAGGTATAAAAATCATGCTGGATCAAGAAAGCAGATAATTAGAAATTGGGATCATGCAAAGTTTGGGGGTGGATGATTCATGAAACACTACTTCAGAAAGTGAATAATGAATGTAAGATGCAGAGATCAACAACATATTGAAAATTAAAAACAAACAAATAGAAAGGATTGCTATGTAACACTCAAGAAGGATGGAGCTATCTGGCTGGTAATAGTGGTGATATGTTGCATTGTGTTTCAAGGGTAATGTGTGTTTTAGCACTATTACTAGAGAACATGAGTGGGAAGATGCTAATATACTCAGGTCTTACTCATAGACTTCTCAGAAGCATTTGGTTGATCGTTGTAAAAGCCAAGTGTTGGACTAGACAACAATTTGGTCTTTAATTGTTTTCAGGGATTTTAATTACTTTAAATAAAGGACAAAAAGAATGGAGTAATAATATACAATACTATATAGAACTAACTTGTGTTCATGCACACTATTGTCTTACAACCATATGAGAGGCAGAGATTTATTATTCCCAGATGGGAAGATACTGATGCTAATAAGGTAATGTAGAATGTTTAAGGCCATGTTTGAATTCACAGCAAAGGCAAGATTTGAATTGAATATTTCCTGATTTATAGCTCAGACCTTTTTGATACTGTCCTTTGTCATCTATACTTCTGGGAAGCTTGATAATCTATATGATTAGAAAAGAAATTTATGTGAATTTGTATCTGTTTAACTATATCAATATTTTCTGCTTACAGCTGTGGCTGCAGTATCAGACTGGAACACTTATTTTTGAAAATATAATTGTTTTGAAAATATAATTGTTTTGAGTAATTTTTGACCTATAGCTTCACACAATTAACCAAAACAGAACTGCAACTTTCAGCAACAACATTGGTTGACAAAAGGGAACTAGCATTATTCCCCTTTATCATTAAAGTCCAAGCAGTCTATACATATGGAAAAAGAAATTATTTTTAAACAAGATTGGATTTTCTAATGTAGTCTCTTGTCTTTTTTTAATTTCCTTATTTTTCTATAGGTTTTGTTTTTCTATCATGAAAATAGTCTTAACTTTATGTGCTAAAGGACAGGTTAAAGAAGGATAATATTGGTTGGATGAGCCATGACATAATCCTCCATTGTGAAAAAAGGATTGTCATCACAAAGCTGTTTGTAAATATAATAATTTGTGAAAACTAGATGGCTGTCAGTTGGTAATTATAGACAACTGAACAGATCAGAATGAACTTTGAATGAATCCTGAACTTAACGTGGTCAGATTAAAGTGTGTAACTGCCATATTCTGTTTTTGTTTGTTTGTTTGTTTGTTTAAAATATTGACTGCTCGTCTTACCACAGGGCAACGCTAGGTGGCTATATAGAATGGGCAGCCTCTATAGAACTGGGTTATATGTTACCATGAAAATAGGAAAGATTTATGGCAATTGTATTATTCTTTGGGAGCCACTGACATGTAGCAGTAATGGTATAACAATTTTGTGAGGGGAAAATTAAGGAGGACAACTTTTTGACTCTTAGCTACTCTTGATAGTATTGGCCATCATATTTCCCTTAGACTGCTCCTGTGAATTGAAAATTGGAGGCATTGCATTACAATAGTTCCAATCAAACTGAAACAGGATTATGTACCTTGGAAGTTGGTTGTGTCTTCTAAAAATGCACTTTTTTGTCCCAATGCTCTTTAAAGCTATATGAAGTCCCTAGGGGTGAACATAAGGGAGTATTAGGATAATTTTCTTTGCCCATAATATTTTACTCAGGAGAGCTTATTCATATTCTGAATCAACACTT